TAGAAAAAGGACTGGCAGACATAAAACTGATTTTGTGTGTGTGTGTGTGTGTGTGTGTGTGTGTGTGTGTGTGTGTGTGTGTGTGTGCGGGTGCGTGTGCCGGGGGGGGGAGGGGAGGGAGGATCCCTCCCCCTCCAATCAATCAATCAATCAATCAATCAATCAATCAATCAATCAATCAATCAATCAATCAATCAACCAACCAACCAATCAATCAATCAATCAATCAATCAATCAATCAATCAACCAACCAATCGACCAATCAATCTATCAATCAATCAATATTTGTTTTCTCTATTTTTTTATTTTTTTTTTCACACACCAGAAACCACACCCCCCAAAAATATTTTTTGTTTTTAACTTTTTTTGTTCAAGGGGGTGGGGTCGGGGTTCCGGAACCCCAATCCACAACCCCCTTCCCCAACCCCCTCTCCCCTTGGCCTCGGCGGGCCGTCGAAGACCGCAGCCTCACGGCCGCGGCCGCAGTCGTGACCGCGGGCCGCGGGGGATTCATAGCTTATTGGTGATCCAAATGGTCGGTCCTAGGCTGTTGACATACCTCCCCACCTGCATACGTCTCCTGTGTTTCATGCCTCAAAGTTCCTACCTTGCATGACTCATGATACATTCACAAATTTCACATGTAAATCAATGATTCCCCTTGATATAGGAACCCGCTATCATTGTACTAGACGAGGATGTCTATATGTCTGGTAGAAGGGGAAGACTGCAAGAACAGTATAAGGTCCAGTTAGAAGGGGAACTTCAAGACTGAAATAACGATATAAGGTCCAACTGCAGTATAAGGAGCCTGGGGGCGATATGTGGTAAACCAAGAACGAGTTGCACGAGACAACCTCAAACATCGTGTCATACTTCAGAGGTCTAAAAGAGGCATCAACATCACAGACCCGTGCAGAAGATGATACATTTCTCGCAGGACCTCGAAATTAGGCCGGCAGGAGACCCGCAGAGTCGAAGGATTTCAGGTCTCAATCAAGTAAAGGCCCGGTGACCGAAGTGCCAATACAGGCCCTATTACAGGGCCATAGGTCGGTAGATTGTTTAGGTCGTTTGGATTTTGGTAGGCCTGCTACCAGGTAGTAGCGGGTACCCAACAAGAAAAGTCGGAGTCTAATTTTGGCAGCAGCATCCAACGAAGGCCTTGTGGCTACCGGACCCGACACAATTGCGGTCAACAGGGCCTAAGAAATTGTTACCGGTCTCGAGCCCACAAAGATTGTGAATTGAGCTGATACTTAACCAGGTGCATGACCTGGTTCCTGGGCGACTCACTCGTTCATTGGCATGTTGCAGAAGCGCTGCTGAATGGCAGAGTAACCTAATGCAAGGCGCCTTAGCTAGGACCTATGAATCCCCCCAGAGGTGGCCATGTGCCGCGTAGGCTGCGGCCGTCTGGCGCCATAGCAGCCAGTGGGGGGAGGTGTCAGACGTCGGCATGCAGGGGCCGTCTGTGCAGCCACGGCCCTTGCCCCACAACCCGAAAAACACACACAAAAAACGATTTTTTGGGGGGGTTGTTTTCGCTGACCTGAAGGGGTGAAAAAAAAAATCCCCCCTCCCCCCCGTCCTCTCAGAACTACCGATTGTGGAGGTGTGTTGGACGTGCGAAGGTACTACGTGTTTGCACAAAAAAAAAAAAAAAATGGTTGATGGAGGTGTTATGTAACTTATGTTGGGAGGGGGGTTGAATTTGAAGGGGCGTTTGGAGTGTGTTAGCCGAACGACGAATGGGGTAGGGTTTGAAATGGATTGGTTCTTGGGGGCGTGGGGTGAGGTCTTTGGGGGCTGCGGGGTCTTGTGGGTGTTTGGTGCATGGGGGTTGTAAGGTTTATGAGGGGGGTTGGGATTGTGGATGGTGTTTGAACTGCCATTTTGTCAAAATGGACATCTTTTATTTTTTGAAGTTTGAACGAAATTGAAACCGAGTTTTTTGGCCGAAAACTCGTCAAAATTTGCTGTTCCTGAGGGTCCAGCGTTTTACAAACGCTGGATCCCCTGGCTGTACATGGACCTAGCTTAAGACCAGGCACGTTTGGGGGTGCAGGGTTCTGGGGTTGTGTGGTGTATGGGGGATGTGTGGCGTATGGAGATGCGTGGTGTATGGGGGATGTGTGGTGTATGGAGGACGGGTGTTTGAAATGGATGGGTTTTGGGGGTGTGGGGTGTGGGGTGTGGGGTGTGGGCTTTGGGGGTGTGGAGTCTGTGGACCGTGTGGGGTGTGTGGGGGTGCGGGGCTATGTATCACCCGGGGTCCAATGGCTGCGGGGTCCAACGGCCGCGGCCGCGGATGGCAGGCCCAATTCCACGGCCACGATTTTCACGGATTTTTCCTGGGCGAAATAAAACGTAAAAACAAAAAAAAAAGGGGTTGTAGGATTTTTTGAACCCTACAAGCTGATTTTTTTTTTTTCCAAATTGCCTTTTTTTTGGTGTTAAAAAAAATAAATATCCGGAGCTGCAAAAACAGTTTAAAAAACAAGGAAAAAAAAACGAAAACAAGATTTTTTCTTTTTTCTTTTGTTGGTTGTGTTTGTGTGTGTGTGTGTGTGTGTGTGTGTGTGTGTGTGTGTGTGTGTATGTGTGTGTGTGTGTGTATAAGTGCGTGCGGGGGGGAGGGGGCTGAGGGGGTGACTCCCCTCCCACCAATCAATCAATCAATCAGTCGGAAAAAAAAAGTGTGCAACAGTATGTGTGTGTGTGTGTGTGTGTGTGTGTGTGTGTGTGTGTGTTTGTGCGTGTGTTTTTGAGAGAGAGAGAGAGAGAGAGAGAGAGAGAGAGAGAGAGAGAGAGAGAGAGAGAGAGAGAGAGAGAGAGAGAGAGAGACCAAGTAAGTCTCCAACCTCGCGGCAGGCCTTATGGTACTTTCATTGATAGGATGAGCAAAGAACATGGAAATATACACTGCCACACTCGTTTTGGTTGTCGCGCCGCAGGCGCGCTTGCGTGCGTGCGTGTGTGTGTGTGTGTGTGTGTGTGTGTGTGTGTGTGTGTGTGTGTGTGTGTGTGTGTGCGTGCGTGCGTGGGGGAGGGGCAGCCACCAATCAATCAATCAATCAATCAGTTTTATTTTTATTTTTATTTATTTTTTAACCTTAACCCCACCCCCTCCCGATATTCGTTTTTCTTCTTTTTTTTTTCTTCGAGGGGGTGGGGTTGGGGTTGCGCAACCCCAATCAGCCCCGAAACCCTCCCCCTGCCCCCCGCAACTGGCCGTCATACGGCCACAAAGTCACGCGGTCGCGGGGTCGCGGCCTTGGCTGCGAATGGCCACCTCCGGGGGAGATTCATAGGTGTCGGGGTGTGGAGTGTGGGATTGGGGGTTGTGGACCGTGTGGGGTGTGTAGGGATGTGAAAAGAAGGGAAAGAGATAGTTACCTCTCCCTCTCTCGGCTCCTTAATCCACAGTCACAGTCTCCCCTCTTTGTGCGCGGTCCCACGGCCTTGGTCACGGATCATACATGCCAAGTGGCACTCTTCTCTCTCTCTCTCTCTCTCTCTCTCTCTCTCTCTCTCTCTCTCTCTCTCTCTCTCTCTCTCTCTCTCTCTCTCTCTCTCTNTCTCTCTCTCTCTCTCTCTCTCTCTCTCTCTCTCTCTCTCTCTCTCTCTCTCTCTCTCTCTCTCTCTCTCTCTGTGTGTGTGATGACCACAAAAGCAACACAGTTTGTGTTGCTTTTTCAGATAGATGACGATCTTTATATGAAACAGTAACAACAAATGTGCTGCATGCAGGTAGTGGTCCCCCACCAGTGCCGTGGGGGCACCATAACTCAGCACAGGCCCTGGCGAAACGGGGCCGCTTTTTTTTTTTCCATTCCTTGATTTTTCAGTTCACAAAAAACATTAGCCAAAAAAGAGTTAAAAACACAACAAATCGAAGAAGACAAAGAACTGCTAAGTTGTGCAAAATTGCCAACCCAAAAAAAATAAAAAATCTGCCATTTCCGTTTTTTGTTTATTTCATTTCATTCCCCAAAATGATCTTTTTTGGGGAAAAGAATATGGGGTTGTAGGTCTGTAAAACACCACAATCCCGTATATTTTTTTCTCTTTCTTCCCATTGGTTTGTCGGGGAAACCCCCCCCAATATCATGGCTGCCCCCAGGCCGCGGCGCTGAATTTGGCCGCGTGCCGAGATTGACCCCTCGGCGGCGGTCACGGGTAATACATAGGCTAGGACTTGTGAGGGAGCAGAGAAAGAGCCCATAGCTGATAGGGTGTGAGCGCCGAGTCAATTGTGTGTGTGTGTGTGTGTGTGTGACAGATAGAGAGAGAGAGAGAGAGAGAGAGAGAGAGAGAGAGAGAGAGAGAGAGAGAAGTAAGAGTGAAGATAAATTGCGAGAGAGCGAGTCCATACCAGAGTGTGAGGGATTGGCGGCCATGGCCGCTTGTAACATGTGTTCAGAGTTTTCAGACTATTCAGATACTTGCAAGTTGCAACAATTTTGAACTTTGGGATAATATCTTTGAGTTTCAGCTGATTTCTTTCTCCTTGCCTTGCTGTTCGACCGTTGGAGCGTGGTGTGGACTTTGGGGTCTTGCATGACTGCGATTTTGTAGTCAAATTGAGTCAGATCATTGCATGAAAAATCAGAAAAAGGGAAAAGTAGTTGAGCCCCCCTGCCGAACCCTTGTATTTTGTTTAGTACCCCCAAATCGGGCAGAACATGGCTGTGTTGCTACGCGTTCAATGAAGGCGCTTTTCGCGTTCACTTTACACACGGCTGAACGCGTTTGACGCGTTTGCGCAGGGCGCAGGGGTGTGGGCTGGGAGCCTGGGGGGAGGAGAGAGAGAGAGAGAGAGAGAGAGAGAGAGAGAGAGAGAGAGAGAGAGAGAGAGA